TTAGAGTATCAACCAGTTCCTCTTCTGATGCTGACCACAGAATATAAATTGGGCCATATTCCTTCATTTCATCAAAATATTCTAAAAAAAATTAATTAAGTCATAAGTTCTTCAATTTACAAAAGTTTTCAAAATCCCTATATCACAGAGAGTAAGAAAGAACCTTATTTCTCTCGTTGTGCACATATTCTCACACATGAACATGAGAAAATGGCTATCACCCTTTATTAAATTGACCAGCCACTCCGGTTTGCCCAAGTCAGTCTTTGAATGACTACTGTCCAAGACAACCAATAATAGCATCCCTTTTCATTGTCAAAAGTCTCCTGGCTTAGAAGATAAATTATATGATTGCCATATCTATTATGAATATCTGCCTACCTCACAACTACACCTGAGTGCTCATAAGCACCGTGCACTAAATAAAGCTTATTTTCTTTCTCCCCTTCTTCTGATTATATATCAGACTTACTGGTAATCACTATCCAAAGATCTAAGCAAAAACTGGGAGATATCATAGACTCATACTTGCACAGAGCCAGTCAATCACCAATTCTAATATTTCTAGATCTTAAACTACCTAATACTTACCTACCTTTACTTCCACTGCCATCAGCATCTCTAAGCTATACTATTGGAAGGGACTCAACTATTCTCCCTATTTCCATTTTTGTCAAGTATATAAACATTGAAGCTTCTTAGCTAAATTAGAAAGTCCTTTATGATCAGTCCCTACCTACCTCTCCTACCTCTTGAGATTCTCTGCCAAGTATATTTTGATTCAAGCCAAAAAAATCATTCATTCACGAATATCCTATGATTTCTCCTGACTCAAACATTCACTGAACTTTCAAAAAGAACGAAACTGAGGCCACCAGAGGTGGAAACGAGGAAAGGAAGGGGAGTTAGCAAGAAATTGGTAAAGGGCCACAAAAAAATGATTACACTGTGTAATGATAAATAAAATAATTATCTGGGAAAAAAAAGGTGATTTGCACCTGTCCCTTTGCCCTGCCTTTTACCATTTCTGTCACCAACAAACTAGTTCTAATCCTTTAAATCCCAGCATCTGATACCAACTTCACACAGCCACACCCAAAACTCCATAAGTGGGAAGCTAGTGACTGATGAAAGCAAATGGGGACTGGCCATGACTACCTTCAAAATCATTTAGGGATCAGAAATGTTCACAACACAGCTGGACATAAGCCAAACTTCGAAGGTGAAATTCTAACAACCTTGCAATACAACACCAGCAAATGAGAAGATCCAACAGAAACTGAACTTTGAAATCACATTTCAGTGATTCTACGTACCCCTTTCTTCCTTGTAAATTCTCTGAGATATTTTATCTATCAAATTTATTTTCTGGCTAAATGTTTCAATAAAGTTATGCATTTCCATGAACTCCTCTGGGCGGTTTTTAACTCCTCTCATTGAGGATGCAACAGCTCGGACTGTCTGCCCCATCCTGCTTAGCAATCCAGGCCCTTGCTTCTTGTGCGAAGAGAGTTCCTAGAAACAAAAAATGAAATGTTTGTGGTGAAGCAAGTAACAATATTCCAAGACCCAATAAAAAAAGAAACCTAAATCGAAGAATAAAATAAAGATAATAAAATGGTTTCATATACATCTTTCTTTTTCATGTTAGTTTGAAGCAGATGAGTTTTATTACGGTACAGTTTCTCCTCTAAGTGTGTCTCCTTGATAATACTCCCTTTCAAAGTACTCGTGTAAAACAGGTACATAGTCCTTCCTCAGAGTATAAATCTTTAAAAGAACAGGGTTTGACTGAGGTAACAGTGCTCAAGGAAATACTAGAGAAGATAAGAGGGTGCCATCTATATTTTATAACAGGAATTTAATGGAAAAATGATTGACAGAAGATTTCTCAGGACTAAATTACTCCCTGAAAAAGAAAATTGGAAAACTTCATTAATTCTTTAGATATACTAATAGCTAGTATTTATTGAGAGTGTAATACAATCTAGGCAGTATCCTCACATTTTTATATACATAACTCACAATAAACCTATGAGGCAGGTTCTATTAGTTTCCTTATTTCACAGAAGAAAATAGAGATTAAGTAAGTTGCTCAAGATCCAAGAGCAATTAAGCAGTAGAAAAAGGAACAGAATTCTGGAAGTCTGATTCCAGAGGCTTCACTGTTAAGCACTAACCTACTCTGCCTCCTTAAAGTCATTAGGATAGTTCGTAAATAGATACTACCTGACCATAGCTCTTCAACCAACTAAAGTGGGCAAATTGTGACACCACCTCCACTGGCTAGTTGTCTGCAGAGAAAGATTTTTAATAAGACACGTAACTAGTTATTTCCTAATTAACCTAGGAGGGACAGCTACAGACTTGAGAAATGCTATAAGAGGATATACTACACACAAAAGAACCCCTGTAGAATTACGGCATATTTTAAAAGAACAACAAAAAAGACAAGGGATTCTGATGACAGTTGTAGCACTTGTTGAAACACAGGTTTGGGACTAAATAAAAGCTGAAGAGTAACACACAAGAAAAAAAATTTATAAATAAAAATGCTGACTGACTAATCCACAGATAAAAATATTGTTTTGTGTTATTTAGCCAAATATTACATAACATATCATCTATCTTCTCCAGGCTTTCTTTCCTGAACATCCTACAGAAAATAATATACATAAAGTAAACTTGTTTATTTCCAAGTTAGTGTAATTTTGTATGCAAATAATAACAGATGCCATCCTTGACCAGGCAACGCGTCCATCCAGGAGTACTACTGCATCATTTGATAGAGTAAACGTTATCAGAGGCAGCACAAGTCACAACTGGCAAACTGTTACTCCAACTGTTGACTGTAGAGAATGTTTTCTAACAGCTTCTAAGGTTCTGGAGTCAGGCCACAATTTCACATCATATAAGTCACAAATGAGCTTCCAGACAGCAGGACTATCTGTCAAATTTGAAATGAACCACCTTTTAGCTTCTACCACTTTGGTAACACTGAGATATAAAATTCAACATTGGCCAGTAATTATTTGATATCAGCCATTTGTCCTATCTATTATCTGTCTTGCTGAGTTATAGCTTTATAGCTTTATAGAAGAAAGGAAAAAAGAAACAGAACATATAAGGTTATTGTATTAGAAAT